AGAGTCATAAACTCTCATATCAAGAACTATACCCAATCTCAACCCAATCCCCATCTGGAAAACATTCAAACCCAGACCCCCAAATCTCACCAATATCTTCCTCTGACCTAGCCCTTCTGAGATATTATTAAGACTCTGTTGAAGTGGTGGTTTCCCTTATTGCAAAAGGTCTTAAATTTGTCTTTGCTTAATCAGCAGATTATTGGGATAAGACCTTTCTGGGCGGTCTATACTACAAAGGCAGGTAGAAAAACTGAAGTGAGATAAGTGATTTGCTCAGGGTTGTAGAGGAACCGAGGCCTTCGGGACTCCAAGTTTAATATCACATGTTAGGACTGAAGGGGCCCTGAAGATAACCTCCTACAATCTTCCATTAAATTGATGAGAAAATTGAGAATTTAAATAACTTTGCAGAGCCAGGACTCCAGATATCCTAGATCAAGGATTTCTTTTATTTTCTCCAAATATTTGACTTTTTTTTTTTTCTTCACAATTAAAAAAAAAAAAAAAACAATTAAATATTTTATAATATCTTCCTTTTGTATCACTGGATTTGAAGTTTTTGTGACTGCCTCAAATCAAGACAAATGTCTATCTGCAATATTTGCCAAAATTATTCAGCTTAGGTCTTTTTCATTCCTCCCCATACTTCTGTTACCTGCCACCCTCATGAAGACCCTCTCAATGAGAAGGACACTAAGTCTATTAAAAGAAAACAACCAGAAAAGGCAAGTGTGACAGAACACTAAGCACTGAAACAATAGTCTCAGCTGGACTTCTTTTCTTTCAAGGAAGATCCATCTCTTGAAAGATTGGCTTTCCATCCTTCTTGTTCTAAAGACCTTTCCTTTTTAAAAAAATCTTCTTTCAAAATGCAGATGGTCCTGGCAGAGGTCACTTCTAGGTTACTGAGGGGTTTAATTAACAAAGAGAAAAAACAGAGCCTAGAGGAGGGAGTCTGTGAAGGAGAAAGATGGAGAAAGTTTTCCTAGTGGAAAACTTTTCTACTTTTCCATTCCATGTAGGGTTATTTGAACCAATTGCCTGGAGGCTACTATAAATATTTTTTTCTTTTCTTCCTTTTAAATTTATTTTCCCCTGTCTTTTTCCTTTTCAGTTACTGTTGTTCCTTGGCAAATAGTATAGAAAAATGCCCTTGAACCCATAGGCAGTGCCCTCCCAATCTGTTCTTTACAAATGGAATCATCATCATCTTCATTACTAATGATAAAATATTAAGTATTATCAGTTGGACATCTTGCACTTGTCCTTAACTCATGCAGACCTGGTGTAGCAGCAATGAGGAAACCATTCTCACAGAAGAGAAACACACAATAGCTTTTGTGAAAATCAAGTTTGGATTCTAAAAATAAAAAAAAATCAGATAATAAATTTGTTTTCTAATTGTAGATTCTTATTTCCTGAAACTCCCAGGATAAGCATGGCTCAGTAGCCCCAGTGAGCTCCTCTAATTATAGAGTTTTCTGGACTATAGTAAAATACAAAAGCGTCTATGTATCTCCCAAACTATTCAATTGTTAGACAAGTCTGAGACTGTCCCCATTCTCTGAGAATCTTAAAATCATTTGCTCATGTATTCCGTAACTTTTTTTTAAATACTATTTATTTCTGTACATTTTAAAACCAACATCTAAATTGTCCCCCTCATAATGTTATTATGGGATTTAATAAATTTTTGAGAAAACAGTGGGGAATTTTATCAATTAAATGCATTCAATTTTATGTCATCATCCACATTATTAAGTCAGATTTCATTGTCAAATCAATTAGCTAAGTATCTAAGAAAAACTATGACTTTATTTTTCAACTCAAATAATATGTTAACACATTTCCTTGCAAATATCTTGTTATTTCTGTCTAAGTCCTAAGTCCCAAAAGTTCTCACCTGGATGAGTAAAAGGTGCAGCCTGATGGGACTCTGGAGCAAGCATTTTGGAATATTCCCTTTGTTTGGCAACCTGGAGCACTTTACATACAGATCAGGACAGACCATAGTTATTTTCTGGGTAGATGAAAGTTTTGCCTTTCTTTTAAAAATTAAGAGAAAGGTAAGTATGGAAATGAGGGTGGAAAGGAAAATTTGTAGATTAATTAAGAGAAAGAGTTCATATGGAAGTGAAGGCATATAATTATTCATGCCTGCCTGGCTGCCTATCCATTCCTGTCTAGTCAATTTTGACTCAGAGCGACCATACAGATCAGAGGACAAATGCCCCATACGGTTTCTTTCCAAGGCTATAAATCTTTACTGAAGCTGACTACCACTTATTTCTCCCACAGATTGGCTGGCTGGTGGGTTTGAACTGCTAACCTTCTAGTTAGCAGCTGAATGCTTTAACTACTGCACCTCCAGGGCTCTGTCCATGCCTAACTCCTAAAAAGTCATTGGGTGCCCCTAGGGACACATTGTCTCTAGCTGAAAGACAGTTACTGTAGAGAAGAGTAAGGTCTTTTTGTACCTGATTTGGCAGGTAGATTACTGTCAAACAAAGGAGTCTGTTAAAATTAAAGCAAACAGTTTTATTAAATTAATAATTAAATGACCTGGATTGGGCAGCACTTTGTGAGAATTCACAAGAATACTCCTGTGAGAGAAATCTTCCAGAGAGTATAAGTACAGAAAATCTAGAAATTTACAAGAAAAAAAATTCTGATTGGATTAAATCTACCAAATCATGCTTTAACAAGCACTAGACAATTTCACCAGCCACTCCTCGGAAGGAAGGTCGGGCAATCCTACTTCCGTAGTGATACTGCCTCGGAAACCCAAGGAGGGGTCGCTATGAGTCGGGGCTGACTCGACGGCACATAACAACAACAACAACAGACAATTTCAAGATCTCATGAGCACTGCTTTTTTTTTTTTTTTTTCTTTTAGAGTCAGTTAAAGTCTTCTTAATCTATGGATATTTCTAGGGCCTGCCTGAGTGAATACCTTTCCTAGGAGCGTGCTGTGGGAGGAAGGGGAAAGAGAAGAGCCTACAGGCTTCCTGAGGTATGCTGGCTACCTGACTTTTGAAAGTCAGCTCAGAATAAGCAGTAAACAGCAAAAATAGACTCCAACTTATAGCTTGGGGAGAAGCCTCTCCTTATGCCAAATATCTAGATTTTTTTTTTTTTTAAAGCTCCTTCACAGCATGAATCCAGACCCAGAGTACTACAATTTCTATGGGGGAAGTTTCTGGTTTAAGTTAGGAATTCTTTTCCCTATGAGTAGAGCAAAAAGAAGCTCTGGTGGTACAGTTTAAGGCATTTGACTGCTAAGCAAAATGTTGATGGTTCGAACCCACTAGCTGCTCCACAGAAAGATGAAGCAGTCTGCTGCCATGAAGATTTACAGCTTTGGAAAACCAATGGAGATTGCTATGAGTCAGCATTGACTTGATGGCAGTGAGTTGAGTGAGTATGAGTAGATCAAAGGGCCCTAGTGGTGCAGTGGTTAAGACCTTGGCTGCTAACAAAAACATTGGTCGTTCAAATCTACCAGCTGCTCCATGGGAGAAAGCTGTCTCAATCTCTTTCTATAAAGATTACAACCTTGGAAAAATCTATGGAACAGTTCTCCTCTGTCCTATATGGCTGTTATAAGTCATAATCAACTCTACTGAAACTATTTATTTACTTTTTAGTTTGTAAATGGATCAGCATTTCTGCAGGGCTAGCCCAGCAAATAATCTCTTGTGTGTGTGTGTGTGTGTGTGGGGGGGCATAGTCTTAAAGGTCTCTGGGCTTTAAGGTCATTCCAGGAATTTACCCTGCCAAGAGCCTTTCCAGTCCAGTTATAGCTCGAGTAATGATCCACATAGTGTTCAAAGCTGGGCCCAAGGCATTATCTGATGGTAATGCCATGATTAAACAACCAATCAGTCTGAAGCAAACCTAAATTGGGATACAGGTTATACATTTGCTTAGAAGCATTCCTTTCTCTATTTCAATGAGACCATTTATATTTGTCTTGTAATATTTTTGTGGTGATAACATTCAAGTTCTAGAAATATTTCTTCTCAACTTATAAAAGCTATTCCAAGACATACTCATGAATCATGAGCCAACAGAAAGAATACATTGAATATGTCTTGATTTGTTAGGGTTTTGGGGCACATTTCAGGTAGTATTATAAAGCAAAAATAGTTTCTAGAATCATATATACTTAGCCTTATTTCTTCATTAGTTATTCAAGTTATGGTAATGTGCATTCTACAGAAAATACTTTATAAGGAATATCTCTAGTAATGAAAGTGGAGTAGAGGAGTAATTCCTTCCATTTACCACAGGTTTGGAGAGGGTTTCCTGGTATGAATTGGTCCCATTCACTAGATAAGCCATCCTGCCTCCAGTTCCCAATATTTAGTTATGTCATTTACATATATCTGTGTAATATATACATATATCTGTGTAATATATGCTTCAAAAATGGTATTTTAAATGCTTATAGATATTCATAACAATCATGTTATTTTATATTACAACATAGAACTTTGCAAAATAATCTTAAGTGGCTAGCTTAGTTTTCTTTACTGATACTTCATTTCAAGGCAGATTTTTAGAAAGGAGCACTAAAGTTCACATTTTCATAAATATTCTAAGATGGGCATACATTTTACTCTTAATAAATTTCTTACAATTCTTGATAATTACTTTTAAAAAGCTTACCTTTTAACCATTTTCATTTCTACAGTAATTTGTGTATTAGCTACCACAAAAGACATAAAACTGTTAAGAATAACAATATGTTATTTTCAGCTTTTTATAAATATTTATATTTATAATTTGGTTTATAAAAAGAAATCTCCTATTCAACTAAGAAAAAAATTATCCTTTCAGGAAAGATTATTTATAAGTGCATATATCCAAATCTTTTTTTCTAGCATAAATAGAATATTGTGATGCCCAGAAAATTAGTTCATTTTATTTAAAGCTCATTTTGCTTAATATAATCCACCAAAATTTAAATATGTATCAACCTACATTGGTGTTACCTTAAGATTTTAGTGACTGCGGTCTCCTTTTCCAGAAGGTTCCTTGCCCTGATGCTGAAAACAGACCTGCGAAGCTATAAAATAATAAGAGCATGATTTTAGATTTCGAAGGTAGTAGAATAATATACTGACAGATCATTAAATGATATTTTTAAAAATATTAAACATGATTGTTTTTCCCTAAAGTATCATCATACCAAAGAGCTCTTGGCTGCTGGCCAGAAGGTCAGCAGTTCAAACCCACCAGCTACTCCATGGAAGGAAGATGGGGCAATCTATTTCCATAAAGATTTATATCCTCAGAAACACAATGATGGTCGCTATGAGTTTGAATCGACTCAATGGCAGTGAGTTTCATTTTGGTTTTATCATCATACCATTGATTCTATTATTTAGTATAATTTTCCACTTTTACTTTTGTTTGGGCAGAACTGCAATGAGACTTATGGGGCTACATGTCACGGCTATGGGGGTGATACATTGGCTACATGTCACTAGTAATAATATTACTGAATTTTCAGTTTCAAAAGAATTTAATGTTGGAACTAATATTGTTTAGTATTGTCATTAGTACAATGTTCTCTAATTCACATTTTGCTCTGCTTCAGGTTCTTAACCTGTGACTCAACACTAATCTGCATAACAGGTTCAGGAGTCATAGTGCCTATGATATGTGAACAAATTAAATGAGCTCTCCAGGTTTCTTCCTGGTTGGCAATTACAAAATTAATCCATAGAAGAGGACTAAGAAAAAACAATCCTGAAGGACTGACTATGAACCAGAAGATATAGTCTCTCAAACTCAGCTTTTCCCTGCTTGACATTTGCAGTTTAATTGATGACAAGGTTAGAAGGAGACATAGTGGATGCCTATAAGCTTTGTGGGTAGAAGAATGGCAGAGAAAGAAGTGGGAAGCATAACCATCATGAGAAGCTTCCAAACAACAAATACCTAGAAAGTATAACTCTAGGAGGCAAATTAAATTAAAGGTAATAATTGGAGTATGACCAGTTCATTTTGGTCAACGGATTAGATTTGATTTATTGGACACTTGGCATAGTATTCATGACTATTGGAGATACACAGTAAATAAGAATCAGAGTTTTTGGTTTTTAGAAATGGATAGACTACTTAAGGAAGGCACAGTCGGGCAATCTACTTCTATAGTGATACTGCCTTGGAAACCCAAGGAGGGGTCACTATGGGTAGTGTCCAACTTAATGGCACATAAAAACAACAGTTAAGGAAGGCAAGGCTGGGGCACATGAGATCATCAATAGAAAGTGCAATTCAGTAGGTCTAAAGTGCTAGAAGAGTTGATGCCTTTGAATTGTTGTTGATGAAGAATAGTGAAAATACCATGGACTGGCAGAAGAACAAACAAATCTGTCCTGGAAGAAATACAGCCAGAATGTTCCTTGCAAGCAAGAATGGCCAGTCTTTATCTCATCTACTTTATTCATGTGGTCAGAAGGGAGCATTCCCTGGAGAAGTATATCATGCTTGGTAAAGTGGAGGGTCAGAGAAAAAGGGGAAGGCCCACAACAAGATGGATTGACACAGTAGACTTCTAGTAAGATGGAGAAATAGGCAGACAAGCTACACAGACCCTCTTCAACAAAGAAAAGAGAAGTCAATTGACAGAGATACAGAAGATAATCCTGGAGCCCTGAGCTTTGAAAGGAAATATGCAGAAGTGGATGAGGCACTAACAAGTGGAAAGCCTGAATGAAAACAGGAAGTATGGAGAGAGTCAAAGCAGAGGACTGTCAGCTACTCTGACAGGACCAACAGCCTGAATATTTCCGAGTGGTATTGGGACCTGAGAATTGATCTAAAGATAAGCCCTGGTCACCAAAGGCTGCAGG